TGGTACAGCCACCAGCAGGTGCCTCTTCACGGACCCCCTCCCCTATTACACACACACAAACACACCTCAACCCCCCCCCCCACCCCACCTCCACCCAACACAACCAACGAAACCGCCTGCCCTGCTATTGCAGAATGTGTGGGAGGTGCAAACAGCTGATAGAATTTCAACAGCTAGGGACAGAGGCAGATGAGGTGCTTAGAGCGGGTGTGCGTGCATGCGTGCGTGCACGAGTGTTTTGCAACCACAGACCAGCGGAAGACGACAGAAGCTTACCCAGGTCAGTCATTATATGCTGACTTGCTGTGCACACAGGCAGGCACACAAAAAGCACAAACAAGCGCGGCCATTTCTCCAGTGTCTCCGTCTAACTCGTGGAGATACTTATCGTTTAATTAGCCTACATACATGTCAAATGACAGTCAGGCTGAGAAGTGGCTAAACATATAGGAAAGTGGGGTTTTCAGTGTATACACTGGGCGTTAACTAAGACATAACCAACTGTGACAGGCTCAAATACCACACATGACATGTGTAATCAAAAGGTCAAATAAATCACTAAAAGTGACTTACTCTGAAAGCGAGTAATAGTATATATTACACTGCAATGGTGGACATCGTGCCCGCAGAGGCAAATTCATAAATAAGGGGCTAAACTTTCTTAAATCCCAAAGCACATCACCAGGCAACAGACAATATTAAAAAGGTAATTCTAAAGTCTGCGAGCTAATTTAAAAAACACAAATATTGTCAGGATTCTCTTGACAAACCGAAGGCACAAGCCTGAGGTCTTTCACTAAACGTGAGTCTAATTGGCAATCTTTCAATATTTAGGCTATGTTGTTAAAAGGTGATTTTGTTGAGGTGTAATGTCACACCTGACCTTAGTTAATTGAATTTGCAGCACCCAGGTCCATTCAGAATATGGTGAATGTAAATCAAATGACTAAAAACACGAAGCCTAAACCAAAGTTAAATCATAAGCTGAACAAACAGAGGTAGGAAAATGCTCTAGCAGCACCAAAGCTAAAAGTTCCTTTCAGGGGCTCGCTGTGGTACCACCAGGCACTTGTATCATCACTTTCCCATCACCGACCACCGTCAACAAGTCCCAATAAAAATCTGTTCACACCAGCACTAAGCCAGTCCTGTCAATTTGGGTTGTGCCTCCAACTTTAATTGCACTCCTGTGGTTTACTATCCTGTCCATTTGGGGAACCATGTGATGGTCCCGATGTGAGGTATTCCCAGTGGTTCATTTTTTTAAGCATCTTTGGATGCCTAACTCTTAATATACAGCATAATCATTGTCTCACATCAAGCGAAACACGAGGCATGTGAAATTACTGTCAATAGTGAATAAGGAAAATGTGCATAATTGGCACATCTCAGCAGTTTAAGATAAAAAGAAGTGATAATTACGCCATCTCTCACCCTTGTGAAAGAGGTTTTAATGTATCGAAGGATTTGATGATAATAATACTTATTTAGGATGTGCACTAATCATTTTGGGGTGACACCAATGAGTCTCTGCCAAACACAAGACAATATAGGGAAGTAGAAGTGTGGTTGTGTCCTTTCATTTAATGAACACAGAAAAAAAACTGTTTAAAAATTGTACTAATTAGCGTTTTATTTCAAATAATTTCCAACACAGCCTATTATCTTGTTGGAGACATTCAAAGTAAATCTGAGACACAGTGAAAACCAAGTTGAAAGCGGAGGCAAATGAAGCAGTCCCTTCAAGATGGATTTACAACAGTAATCTGTTGTAAAGTATACACTTCATATCATCTTTCTCATGTACCATGCAGCATGTTCCTGAGCCTGCTAGCCGAGCCACTGCTAACCTTTAAACCCCCCCCAATCTGGCCACCAGACAGAAACCCAATCCCCTAAACCTAAATCGCCTTCCAGCTGTTTCCTTCATAATCATGACGTCGTAAGCACCATCCAGGCACGTGCAACTCATGCCTAATATCAACAAGAACTCCGTGTACATAACTTCCCCGAGGTCGCCATTGAATCGGGCCATTTCTGCGCACCTCAGTCAAACAACATCCAAACAACAACTTGTTGCAAAAACATCAAAAGTGCGGCAATATTACCCGAAGAGCAATGCGTTAGGAAACAAAGTAGCCCGACGGTCTCATGTTGCTGTGACCGAAAGCGCATTTAATTCCAAAGCGCGTTGAATGTCTTAAACGTGCAGCCGGTAACGATAAGTTAACAGCCGGCGACACGTTCGTCGCGTTTTTTTCTCGAAGCTTCGCTTGTTAAGAAGTCTTGCTCTCATTAAAACAAGACAGCGGGGCTCACCTCTGAAGTCCCAGCATCCTCTTCATCTTCAGCCCGCTAGCAATGGCTCCAACTCCCATGAACGCGGTTTGTTTGATAAGCCGGCGAGGCGACAATGTGTAAAAAGCAACAAATTGCCTCGCTAAGTGGAAGCGAAAATTTAATTCACATGGGGGGGGGGGGGGCATTTGATTCTGGATTCAAATTGGGTAGCCGCGGCCCGTTGTGTCGGTCACACGTGCTCCCAAAAAACCTCCACTTTGGGAAAACCACAGGATTCAAAAAGGTGTCGTGACGCTTCAACGCGGAGCAAGAGGAGGAGGAGGAGGAGGGGTAGGGGGAGGAGGCCGGAGATGGATGAAGAGGTCGACAGTGATGGTGTCCGTGGTAATACAACTAGTGCGTTACCCCTCGGACTTTTTTTGTTTTAATTTCTAATAAAACTGTCGACTTATTTCCCCCCGCTAACAGTTACCGGGTCCACATTTAAGTGCGGCGCTGACTAAGCCCAGCTAGTCGCTGTCAGTTCAGGACCACCGCGACCAAGAACGCTACTTTGAAGCCACGCGCATTTATCATTTAACCCTGCAAAACTGTGACAAAGTACTACGACTTTCGCCATTTCTACTGCAAACTCGCGGAAAAACTGCTGCGGACAAGTTTGTCTGGTCACGTTCTTATTTCCACCGGTGAAAGATACACACTCAGCGAGGCACTGTGTCATCAGACAGCTGAGGCGAGCACCACTGACCGTACGCGATTTTGACAGCTCCTCGCACTGAATGAAACGGAACCTCTCGAGTCCGAAACACCTCTCAAAAAAACCACACGAAGAAGTGTGATTCCTTACCTGAAACGAACGCCAAAGTTTAACTCCAGACGTCGATGTACAAAGAGTGTTTTTCGGGCGAACTTGTGACTGTGTTGTTAGTTGTACTCCTGCTGGCGACCACGGCGCAGCGGCTCTACTGCTGCTGCTGACGTGACCGTGATAACGCCGCATTTGCATATTAGTAAACTCCTCTCTGATTGGAGCACCCACAATTTGGCTCAATTGCACCTTTACGCGTAAAATTAAGAACCGGTTCGCGAGGCGCAAGTGCTTTTGGTGCGGTGCCGCACTCAACCGGCTCCGGCAAGCGGCTGATTAAATCGTGGTTTCGTGCGTAAAGTGCCCATGTTGACAGAGTGCATAAAATGGCCGCGCACGAGCCAGAGCCAATCCGGAGAGGTTTCACTTACGCACATGCACCGGAGTCTCTCCACAATGCAAAGATGAGATGGGTGGGAGCGCTGCTCTCCACTGTGGGTAAATGTTGACCTCTGGTGGCTGACTGGGCAAAATACTGAAATCAAGTCTGTTCCAATCTGGACTATTGGACGTGTGGGCTACTGGTCCTAACTAAATAGGGCGCCCATATTGACTTTATGCAATTCGTATTTCATTTCATAGAAATGTCCTGATTTTGCCAGTGGCCCCAAGAATTCTGCAAGATCAATTTAATATTCATTAAAAAAAATAAAGTATGTAAAAATCAGAACAGAATATCCTCTCGTGCCCATCATTCAACAATACTTTGTGCAGTTGTCTTAAGTAGCTCAACTGTGGAATTGGATATGGGTGAACATGATGTGACAGTAGTGACCACTCCTACTGTACAAATGTTTACAAGTGAAAACATCACTCATGTAGATCACATACTAATGTGCCTTGAAAATAATCATTACCCCATATTCCAGAAATGTCTGAACAGCATATAATGTTCGCCCCCCACCAGGTATTTCAAATTGCTTGCTGCAAGTAAAACCAGCCCCCCCCCGAAGTACAAAAACACTCATTCAAATTTTTTTGATCAGTTTATTGATTTCAAAGAAAAGCATTTAAACCTCATGTCATTTATGCCTTTCACAAACCGGAGCAGGAGAATGGGTCCGTATGAAGAGGTCCAACGCCCAAATGTCAGTGTGTGAAGTACATCGAAACTTGCCTTTCACAGCAGCTATAAATAGATTTAACGGGTTTCGGCACCATATCTGCTATTCTGATACAGTCATTTCCTTCTGGGGTTCCCAGACACTTTAAAAATACCATCCTCATCCCACACTGTTAAATTTACAATATTTGCATATTGAACGTGTCTGGGCATTATTACTGACAATTAAGCCAGAGCCCTTTATAGATGAAGACATTACATAAAACATGTATCTGGCACAATGGAAAAGGTGTATTCTTTTACCTGGACAAAACTCAGAAACTAGTTATTAACTAAACCTTATCAAAATACATTTCTGATTTTCCTTCAGACTTATGTGGGAATTCTGCAACAACTTTTTAACTTGTGACAGAAAGATCTATAAGGAAGCTTAAGTAACATTTGCAAACCAAAAAATAATCAAATTAGAAAATCCAAGTATCAATGGACACACTTCTCTAAAAGTCAAAGCTTAGCACAGCATCCATTATTTACAACCCAGACCTTTAATAACCAACAGCCAAAAGGTACAGAAAACATTCAAAACCAGACAAAATAAAATACATTTAGCACTAATTTTTTTAAATTAAAAAAAAAAAAAAAAATAAATATATAAATATT